TAAATAAATAAACAAAGATAAAAAAAAAAAAGAAAAGGGCAAACGATATCATAATCAATTTTCCTATTTAAATCTCTATTTGATTTTAATCCTTTCTCTCATAAGGGTTTTATGAGAGCAAAATTATAAGTCACGTATTGTAGTGGTGGTAGTCAAAGGTCATGAGGTATCAGAGGTACGTTAGTAGTCAGAGGTCATGTACCTCATAGTAGTCTGAGGTACATAACCTCAGATTTTGCTTGGCAACTGAACTAAAAGTTAGATCCTTGCAGACTTATAGTGACTCACAGCTGTAATTAACCAAGTGAATTTTACATGTGAAGTCATCGATCTTACCCTAGCCAAATACCTAGCTGTGGTTTCCAATCTCAAATGCCAATTTGAGAGATTCCAACTCACCAAAGTTCCAAGAACGGAGAATGAACATGCAGACTCTCTGTCGAAATTAGCATCTGATAGCTCCAGAGGAGGGAGGTCTGTCTATGTTGAGGTTCTTAACGAACCAAGCATCCAGAAGTCAGCAATGATGGAAGTCAATATTGATCCTGAAACTCCGAGTTAGACAGATCCTATCAAGGCCTACCTCCAAAATGGAACTGTTCCAAATGACAAGCAAGAGGAAATGAAGCTGCGAAGAAAAGCATATCGGTACACCTTACTTGACGGAATCTTGTACAAAAGGTCATACTTGCTCCCTCTTCTTTGTTGCTTAACTCCTTACGAGGCCGAATATGCCCTTCACGAGGTACATGAAGGTATATGTGGTAGTTATATTGGAGCTCGGACTCTAGCTCATAAGGTACTCCGGCAGGGATACTATTAGCCTAATATGCAAGAAGATGCCAAGAAATATGTTTAGAGGTGCCAGAAGTGCTAATTCTTTGCACACCTTACTCACCAGCCAACGGAAGAACTCATCAACTTAGTTGCACCGTGGCCTTTCACCCAATGAGGGATGGATTTGCTGGGTCCTTTTGTTAAAGGCGTGAGGGAAGTTACACACTTGGTTGTGGCAATTGACTATTTTACAAAGTGGGTGGAAGCCTAACCTCTTTCCAGTCTGACCTAAAAAAAGATTAAAGATTTTGTGTTTAGCTTGGTCATCCGTAGGTACGGGATACTGAATCAAATTGTTTCCAGTCTGACCTAAAAAAAGATTAAAGATTTTGTGTTTAGCTTGGTCATCCGTAGGTACGGGATACTGAATCAAATTGTTGCTGACAACGAGCCTCAGTTTCATTGCACCTCGCTTAGGGACTTCTGTTCCAACTATGGATTAAGTTGGTATTCACTTCGGTTTATCATCCCGAGGCAAACGACATGGCTGAATTTGTCAACAAAGTTATCCTAGAAGGGATCAAGCCAAGGTTGGACCAGCTAAAAGCTAAGTGGGTGAACGAGTTCAACAATGTCTTGTGGCCTTATCGAACCACATGCCGAACAGCCACAAGTATGCCATGATTTCTAATTTCCTCCTTCGAGGTAATAAATAATTATAATAAATATACCCTTAAACAACAATTTCTTCTAATTAGGCGAAACGCCCTATCACTTGACTTTTGGAATTAAGGCAGTCATTTTTGTTGAACTTGGTGTCCCAAACTTGAGAGTTAGCCATTTCGACCCAACACCACATGACTTGCTACTTCGGGAAAACCTTGACTTCTTTGACGAAGTTCGCGAGCAAGCTCGACTTCGCACAATGGCATATAAGCAGAAGATTGCCAGCTTTTACAATAAGCGAGTTCGACCTCGAAGCTTCAGGATCAATACCTCGTCTTTAGGAAGGCAGGGCTCACCGACTTCGAAACCCATTTTAGCAAATTAACACCGAACTGAGAAGGTCCATATGTAGTGGCAGAAATACCTCACCCCGGCGCTTATGTGCTTCAAGACGCCGAGGGTAAGGGAGTCCCTAGAATATAGAATGTAAATAATTTTAAAAAATTTTATTCTTAATACAACTTGGTCTTGTCTAGTTATAACATCATATTTCTAAAGTCGAAACTAGAAATTCACTTCTACTTCAGATTAGATATGAACTCAGCCATCGCCGTCATATTTCTGTTTTACTTTGGGAATTAAGTTAGATATATTATTACAGTTTTGATGTCTGTTATTTGAAGTTATGGTTTCAAGGTTAGAAGTCACACATTTATGCCAAAATCATAAACAACATTAATTTTTGAATTTTCAATACGTTAAATAAAAAGCGAAATACACTTTCTTAAAGGGTACAATTCAAAAGAGAGAGAGAAGAAGATAGAGAACGAGCTAGCCGAGCTCAATCAATGATGTGATGCTGTTGGTCCACCTCTTCGTTCCGCACGTTTTCTACCACTTTGGTTTCTCGTGGAACCTCGACCTCCTCCTCATCGATTGTGACGAACTCATAATCCAAGATGGGAGGGAAGATAGTTTTCCCAACGTCATCCCGTTCCCACTTTAGTTTTATCTAGGGATGGAACTCCGCTGTCTTGATATCCTCATTCTCCTTTACCCCTGCTTCCTCAGGGCCGAACGTGATGTTGGTCACGTCCACCTTTGGATTCTAAGCCTTCACCTTCTTGCGACAGTCAGCGAAGGCCATCACCAAAGTTAGCAAGCGGTAGAGGTCCACCACCTTGGAAAACATTGGAGACTAGATGAAGTCCGTAACGTGCTGCTCCATAGAGTTGTGAACCACCAGCTTAGCTTTCTTCTTCCTCTCGGCCAGCTCACTTTCCCTTTGAGCTAAAGCTTCTTCACATCTCTTCCTCTTCTGCTCCTCCCAGCTTGGCAGCTTTCTTAAAAGTGGCCAACTCCTCCCTGACCTTCTCGAGCTCCAAAGTCAACTCATCAAAGCTCTACTTAGTAGCCTCTTTTTGCCGGCTGAGCTCCTTATTATTCCCAGCTAAGGTAACTCGCTCCTAGAGGCAGTTAAAGAACTCAACTACCATCGCATTCACCAAGTTTGCAATCTACAAAAAGAACAAAAGTCAAAAAAAGAAAAAAAGAAAAAAAGAAAAAGAGGATAGAAATTGCATCTCACCTTCAGGGCATGGCGAACTACCCCAGCTCCTCCATTTAGGGCCACTTCATCCCTAGTCCTCTGTAGATCCACTTCAGGGAAGTGGGAATTAATGAATCGCTTGGTAGCTGTCTTGCTGGACTCGAGGAAACTCAATGTCTGCTTGGTAAAGGGAACAGAGCTTTTCCCCTTTTCGTGTGTTACAGCCCCCACTTCCGGCAAGGCTGGGTTGATTTGCACAAGGGGAGACTAAGGCACGAACTCGATTAGGGCCTCAAATCGCAGCTCCTGCACCTTTTCCACCCGTTGCCTCTTCCGAGTTGCAACCTCTTCTTCAGTCGCCCTCCTCCTTGGCTTCGAGCTGAGCCCCACTTCAGCTCGAGCTCTTCCACTTTGGTGGGGTCTTAAAGTCCCACCCTCCACTCTTTCCTCCAAGCCACCCAAAGTTAATGCCTTGGACCTCTTCTCTGGCAGCCTTATAGCTTCACCTCATGCTCTTAAACGATTCATCTTTTCTGCAAAACAAAAAAGAGTTAAAGTTGCAATCATACTTAACTTTCAAAGTGGAATTTTATTAGTTAACACACACCTCCGCTTAACGAGCTCCTCCCATAGATCCTAGATGACTCCACCACCTCTAGATTAGTTAGGTACATTATGTCTACTAACTCCCCTCCAACCCTGTCTAGGCTTTCCACCTCGCCCAATTGGTACTTATTTGGGTTCAGCTTCTTCCCCTTCCATTTGCTAAGCTCCTCCATCTCTTCTCCCCCTCTTCGTATCATCAGCAAAGAAGAACTTCTCCTTCCACCCCTTAATAGAAGAAGGACCTACTATAAATAGATTCCTACTCCTACCTCCTGCCACTAGAGGTGTGAAATAAAGCCACCCCTTTTCCTTCCCATTTTCTCCCTTAATTATAAAAAAATAGCTAAACAAATCTACTATGGGGATGGACACATCAAATTTGGCAGTAGACTAAAAACCCCACCACCAACCGAACTCCATTCGGGACGAGCTGCGTTAGCTCGATCCTGTACTCCTTTAACAGTGCCACCAGCAGCTCGAGGATAGGAAACCAAAGTCCAGTTGCTAGATAATGCACGTATAGAGGCATCCAATGATCCTTTGGGGTTAAACACGCCCATTCCTTAGTCTTGGTTGGCTTTACCAGTACATGAGGTGGGATGTCGTAATTCTCTACCAAATACCCTAACTCTCCCCTACCCTTCCAGCACGACTTATACCTTATAACCTCCCCTACCACTTTTTCCCTTTCATCATAACACCTATCTCGACGATCATCAACTTCTAAAATGTTTGTCGGGATAATACTATACTCCTGAACCCCACTCCCTCCACAAACAGACGTCCTACTTTCATTCCCCACACTCGAGCTTGAGCTTGAGCTTGAACTTAGGTTCCCCATTTCTCCTTCCCTTCCAACACTCAAAGTTCCTTCTGAAGACATCCTTGACACCACAATTTTCACTACAAGGAATACGTGACCAATAGAAATCAAGATCACCTATAATTTCTATCCTCTCCTACCTCACTTGTTAATGAATATCTAACTTCCCTAACTGTGACCTAATTCTAAATTCAAGTAAATCAAATCATTTAAGCTAGAGGTAGAGCTAAGAGTTACCTGACTTCTGAATGGCCGAAGTGAAACACTTGTATAAATATTTATGCTGTAATCACGTCCCAACACTTCTGGATGGACGAGGTACTCTAGTTTGATTTCGGTAAGGCTTTGCTATGAATTCAGCAAGGTAAAATTATGAATAACTCAAGCCCAGCTATTTATACTAAGCCTCACTTCCACTTTAATGGTCACGATCGCTCGCATCCAGCAGCCATGATCGTGTCCCTTCGAATTCGGTAGTTATTCCTGACTACATTTATTACAACATGTCACACAGCGACAACTATCAACCTAGAATAATTTCTTTTCTTTTCTTTTCTTTTCTTTTTTTTGGGTTCCACTTCAAGTTCTTCTTGCACGAATTACTTTCAATTCGACCATGTTAATTTCTTTCTAATCAGACTCACACTCTCATCATATTTTTCACTTCGGCTCCGGTTGTACATAACATGATCATGAGTCATGATATTTTCACTTCGATTCCGGCTATACATCACATGACCACGTGTCATGATATTGTCATTTCGGCTCTGGCCATATAACATATGACCTTGTCATTATACGATCACTTCAGCTTCGACCGTACGTTACACGACCTTGAATCATATTTGCATTGTGACCTTTGTTGTTCACTTGACCCCATGCCATAACATCCTCACCTCGACTCGACCCCAACACAAACTCTCGTATCATTCACAAGTGCATGACTTTAAGGGGGAATAGTATAGCGGTGGTAGTTAAAGGTCATAAGGTATCAAAGGTACGTTGGTAGTTAGAGGTCACATACCTCATAGTAGTCTGAGGTACATAACCTCGGACAGTCGAAGCTATTCCCAATAATGTAGTCACCTTGAGTTGATTGAAGAACAACGAGCTCAATCGAGTTCGAGTTCGTCCCCTTTGCTTCTGTTCTACAGTTACTCTGGACATGCACATATCTTTCAAGAGAGTTTCCTACGGTCATTGACACATATGGTCCTGATTGCCCGTGAAAAACAACACGTGGATGCCCCTTCGAAGGCTATAAATACCCCCTAGGGTCCTCCCGAAAAGGTAATTGAAACCGAACTCAAGTTCAGCTCCTGCTTCATATATGGTAGCTTTGATTATTGCTAACTTAAGTATCGGAGTGTCTACCCTAAGGACCAACCTCGAGGCTTTGCAGGTTAGCAAAAGTGGAGAACCGAGCTCAGGAGTACCCTAGAATTCTTTGCAACTAGACATATCAAAACAGACAATGACCTATGATAGAACACGACTCACTCAATCCTTGTGTCATGTATTTTTGTGTAATGTCTCTACCCTGCAACAAGTGGAAAATCTAAGCTTCTGGTGGGTAACTTTGATCCTACTTCAAATATTCTTCTAGCATCACACTTCCGTCAATCTTTGTGTCATGCATTTTTGTGTAATGTTTTTGCCCTGCAACAAGTGGAAAGTTAAAGTTTCTAGTGCTTAACTTTGATTCTAGATGGTTGCCATTCGCCTATGTTTCAATTCATTCTCATTTTCATATTATATCAAAAAAAAAAAAAAAAACTTTGATTCTAGTTCAGATGTTCTTCTATCATCATGCTTCCGCCAATCCTTGTCATTTGTTAATATTAGGTTAAATGTTAATTTTGGTCTCTCAATTTTAAGGTTTTGTATATTTTCATCCTTCAACTTTTTTTTTTTGCAATTTTTTATCCCTTAATTATGAAAAATGTATTTTTTTTTTATTTTTTGTTAGTTAATCCGTTAAATCTATCTAAATATGTAAATTTTTAGCCCCTCAACTTTTAATATATGCACATTTTTCATCTCTCAACTTAAAGTTAAAGAACTTAAAATGTGCAGATTCAAATGAATTTAACGGATTAATTGATAGAAGAGATAAAAAGTGCATTTTTCATAATTAAGAAATTAAAAGAGTGAAAAAAAATTAAAAAATAAAAATTATATAAAACCTTAAGTTGAAGAACTAAAATTGATATTTAACCTTAATGCTACTTTCTACCCGCAATTTTCCCCCTCTAAACGTAAGTAGTAGCGAAAGTCAATGATGATTTTTTATTTCTCTTTATTAAATGTATAATGGACAGCGATTGGATCAAATTGATTGGAACAATATTGCTTAATTTTATAACAATGATTATTATATATTTTGATTTAATATATTATATAATAAATTTATTAAAAAAATTATTTTATATTTAAAATTAAAAGTAAAAAAATTAAAAATATAATTATATATATAAAATAAAATTAATAAAATTAACTATATTTATATTATATTTAAATAATTAAACTAAAATAAATATAAAAAAATACATTACATCGATTGCATTTCAATCATTTTCCTTGGTTTAATTGTCTTTCAATAAAGAGCATGGAATTCATGTGCCTGCAATTGGTAGTGTTGTCCTTTTCCATCATTACCCTAATACCCTTGATTGAAATAGAAATTATGGTTCATGCCATTTGACTCCCCCTTTGCAGTAGAAACGGAATTTTGCTTCAAAATCTCGCTCGGTCAGTCCCAACAGCTAATAGAAATATGGATTATATATCAATAATTCAAGTGGTTTAATAATAATTTTTTATAATAAAAAATAAAAAATTTTAAATTTAAATTATAAATATATAAGTAAAATTTATAAAAGATAAAAAAATATCTTTTTTTTTATACAATCCAAAAAACAAATAAAATGTACGACATAGCACAAGAATTTGACAATGTAACACTTAAAAAGGAGCTGGCAGCAGCTGGCATATTGTAAAAATAAGTAATCTTATAGCTGTGTAGGTGCTTTCGGTAAAAACTTATTTTTAGTCACTTATTTTTAGTATTTTATTTTAATAAATTTGTAAGTTTAAATTGCTCAAATTATATTAAGACACTTTTAGTTTTTTATCTTTACAAATTAAAGAAAATAACATTTTATCGTTACAAATCGAAGAAAATAATTTTTATTTAATGTTAGTTTATAATGTTCGTTAACTAATTATTAACTTTTTATTAGTTCTGTTTTTGTAATTGTTAACAATCTATTAATGTTAATAGTTAGATGATTAACATTATAACTTCACGTTAAATAAAAGTATTTTTTTTTTAAATTTTATAAGTGAGAAGTTAAAAGTATTATAATATAAATTAAAAGTTTAAAATCTACAAATTTACAAAGGTAAAAAGATAAAAAGTAAGATTTTGCCGTGCTCTCACAGGGGATAGGGTTGGGAAATTGCAGGCGTGTCTCTGGCTCTCAAAGTTGCGCTAAACATCATGCGTATTCTTCCAGCTATTTTAGACTAAATTGAGTCCAGAAAGGGGAACAGATCTAGCTTTTTCCACTAAACTTTTCTTTTCTTTGAGTTGCTTCAATTAGTATTATTTAAAAGGATTGAGAAAAATTAAAACTTCTTGAGATTAAAATCTCAGGAATGATAACACAAAAACTAAGATTTCTTTAATGAATCAACACAAAAGGTACTTATTTAAAAGGCTTAAAATTTCTATTTGGTTCTTCTACTTTGATAAAAAAAAAATACTCATTTTTAGCCTTTTTATTTAAAAAAACTCTTTTTAGTTTTTAAAGTTTGAAATCTGATATCTTTTTAATCTCTTTGTTAAATTTTTATCTCGTGACATATTATTTTAATAAAAATTTCAAAATAAAAAAATTGAAAAATGACTTTTTTTTAAGTAAAGGGACAAAAAGGGAGGCTTTATGTCAAAGGAGAGGGACAAAAAAGAGCTAAAAAAGTCACTTTTTTGTCCTTTTACTTTGAAATTTCTACCATCTAATATATTACATGTGTAAAACTTAATAGAGGGATTAGATGAAACCGAATATTCAATTTTATAAACTAAAAATGAGTTTTTTTTAAGAAAAATGGGTTTTTTTTAAGTAAAAAGACTAAAAAATGATTCTTTTTAAATAAATAAACTAAAAAATTGTGAGGTTTTTTAACCTTTAAAAATTTTGCAAAAAGTCCTAACATTTAAGTGTGAGAACATTTTGATTTTTACATTTTTTTTTATTTTAAAAGGCAGGATTTCACTCTAAAACTTCTTAGTGCCTTAATATTATCCTTAATTATTTCCTGAATTAATGCGGGGCCATTGAATTTTAAATGCAGAACTCATGATATAAAATTTACCCCATTTTTAAAGTTCATTCTCAATGAATTAATTAATGCCTCGTAGGGGCCATTGAAACCTAAATACAAAACTAGTACCTGGTTATCTTTTTCTTTTCTTAGTTTTTTTTTTTTTTTTTTTTTGAAAAATTAGTATACCATGCAACTCATGGTATATCTTATTTTTATCAAGAAAAAATCATTAAATTACTTAATTATTTTGTTGACTTTAATATTATTTAAAGATGTAAAATCTAAAACTTCTTAATTAGTGCCTCAATATTATTCTTAATCTCTAAATCAATGCCTCACATGAACCATATAAATGAAAAATTCATAGTAATTTCCCCCCATGCATTTCCTTCTCCTTAGAAGAATCACGTACGGATGGGGCGCTGAATCATTCCACAGGAAGGGCTAGTGCAGGTGGGCTTCTCCGTGATCATGAGGGGCGATGGTTGAATTGTTTTGCGGCTTTTGCCATCAACATTGGGCCATAATCTAGTTATATGGCTGAGCTTTGGGGTTGTCGTTCTGGGCTTCAGTTAGCTTCTGAGTTGGGGATTTTTCACTTGGTTCTTGAAATGGACTCCCTTTCGGCTGTGCAAATGATCCAAGCGAGGAAATCAGGAGATGGCCTCACTTCTGTGCTGTTATTGGATATTTTCCATTTACTGAATTCCTTCACAGTTTGTACAATCCAACACACCTTAGGGAAGGAAACTCAGCGGCTGATTTTTTGGCCTCTATTGGCCAGCATCTTACACTGGTACTACCTTCTTCTCAACTCATCCAATGGGTATTGGGAGTATTCTCCATGGTGATAGCATAGGAACCTTTTTCCTTAGGACTTAACTCTGTTTTAGTTTCTTATGTACCG